CCCACCCCCAGCCCGGGCTGCTCACCAACAGGGGGATCCCGAAGGTCATCGTGCGGCCCCTCCACAGCTTCCGGAACCTCTCCATCCCCGTCACTCTCCATAAACCCCGGGCGGCGCCTTCACGAATCCGGCCCGGCTTCAGCGCTTCCGGCGGGGCGCGGGTCCGGTGCAACAACCGCCCCGCCTGGAAACGCGCCCGTGGAAAATGGGTTCCGCGCACACACAGAGACACACACACAGAGCTGCCAGCAGTGTGGTACCGTACTCATAAACGGCAGTTCAGACTCTATGCCAGGACTGAAAATTCAAAGTTGGACACTACAACATAGTCCTAATGGTGAGATGAAAGCACCGTCCACGAAACTGCAGTAACTCAGGCCTGACTCTGACTTATCCTACTAAGATAAAATTCCCTTTGGATGTGTCTGGGGAAGGGGAAGAGTTCACCTTCAGTAAAGTCACCTCTGAAGTCACAGAAATTAGAAAACAACAAAAAAGCTACAGAGAAGAAGGCTCAAGATGACCCTGAGGCTGATGAGGAGCTTGGTGCTACCATGTGGCCAGGCGGTTTGCCACAAGAAGCCTCTCAAGAGTTAAGTTCCCTTCAAAAACCTCAAAGACAAAAGAAAGAACAGGTTTCCCCAAACAAGTCCATTCCAGCAGACAGAGGAAAAGCCAGCAGTAGATACTTGGGTAAGAAATGAAGGCTCACTAGCAAGGGATTTCACCTCCTCCGCACCTTGGAAAAGCCAGCCTGCAGAACTGAGATCAGGGACATTTGAGGAAAGCAAATGGCATGGAGAGACTAAGGAATTCTGCAGCTTACACCTGGGATACCTTGGCAGGGAGGAAGAGAGAGCAGAGCTGAAATAGCAGGAAAGCTTCCCATTCAGGATCGGGAAGCATGGAGGGCACTGCTGGAGAGAAATAGAAGCAGTCTCTGCCATCTCCAGTGAGAGCTGAAGGCTGTGTTAGTATTCACCCAGTGCATGACCAGAACTTAGCCAGCTGAATCTTTACTTGTAACTAGATGCAGGCTAGCTCAACAATGTTAAGTTTCAATTGGCTGCACATGCAGTTCCCACTCGCTTTTGCAGGTAGACACATATCTTCACTGTAATTTCGAACTTTCCATTGATTAAAGCAGTTGTGAAGGCCTGGCCACTAGCCATGTCTTTCATTCTGGAGCCTGGTTTCCTAAGGAAAGAAGATTGCCATGATTATACGGTCTGTTTTCCTGCACTGTTATCCCTTATCCCAATCGCATTGGACCTTCAGAAACTTTTATAGTCCTTTCAAAACAAAGCTGGCTACAACAGGACTAATAGACAGTCTTAGTCTAAGATTTAGAGCCTCTAGTCACTAATTCCTGCTAGTAATTAAATGTGCCATGCCTTCTACTCAAACACCTCTTGGCTACAGCCACATGCACAGTGGTGGAGCGCTGATGTATTGGAGATAAAAGCCTATATGCTTCAGGCATAGGCTGTGATGTTTTCACATGTTACTGGAGCCAAAGGCTCTGCCATGTTCTGGTAACCTGTGGCAATGGCAGAGTGGAGCTGGGAGAATGAAAGCTCCTCTGTTAAATAGTTTCTGAGTCACTACACAGCCTTTCCACAACCCAGATTGCTGCCTGATGGTGAGCACAGCAGGGACAAAGTGGAACAGGGCACCTGCTGCCTCAACTCAAAGAGAAATTTAAAACCATTTGAAAATGATTACTTCCTTTGGTCTTCTCCATTAATCACATCAAGGAATTGGTGGAGGTATTTAACTTAAGTTTTCTGAACATGTCAATGAGCCACCATGTATATACAAACTAAAATGGAAGGAAATCAAACACATAAGAAGATAAGCTAGCATCATTGCAATGCAGTGGCCACCAATTTGTTCGGAGAGCCCCTCCAGCTTAGAGAGAAATAAACAGAACTGAAGAATAAAAAAAATAACTTAGCTGGAAATGACTGCTTCTTGAGTACCTCAATAACACGAAGGCAACGTGAGTCTGAATTCCAGAAATGTGAACTCAGCTGGGAGCAATGAGAGCAGCTCTGTGTTTGTCCACACACTGCACTGAGACTGGGATGAACTCCTCACAGAGCACAGGCCCAGTGCTGGGGAACCAGCTTGCCCAGAGCCTCTGAAAGCACAACTGTCCCTTTTAAAACTTCATAAGAGTTTGAGAGGCCTCAAATCACAGACTTGGCAAGAGGAAGACAACTGAAAAAACAAAGTCACTAAGAATAATTTCCTGATATTAAGAGAGTTGCTATTATAGATATGGATGTGCTGAGAAGAGAGGTTATTACTTACCTCTTTCCTCCCACTCCAGCTTTCCCTAGAAACAGGTTGTATTGTAACTCTAATATTGCAGCATGAGGCTAACTCCACCTTCAGCCTTACAGTCCCACCTGAGTACTCTTAGCTCTCTGCTACAGACATAACCTACAAGAAGGATGTTGAGATTCTGGAGCGTGTTCAGAGCAGAGCCACAAGGATGGGGAGGGCTCTGGAGAACAAGCCTGATGAGGAGCGGCTGAGGGAACTGGGCTTGTTTAGGCTGGAGAAGAGAAGGCTGAGGGGAGACCTCATCACCACCTACAACTGCCTCAAGGGAGCTTGTGGAGAGGTGGGTGCTGGGCTCTTCTCCCAGGTGATGGGGATAGAACAAGGGGAAACGGCACCAAGCTGTGCCAAGGGAGGTTCGCCCTGGCAACAAGAAGGAGGTTGAGGGTTTGTTGCAGTGCCATGAGGTGCTTTCGTTTTCACTGGCAACTGTTGGTATCTAAAATTTTACTATGATGTTATGCTTTAAAAACGGCAAGAGAAAGTAACTGTTGGTATCTGAAATTTTACTTGATGTTATGCTTTAAAAACGGCAAGAGAAAGCAAATGTGGAGCTAAATACAAACATATATAATAACATTAATATTGTAATAATTGGAAGGATAAGAAAAGTGCCTAAAACAAACATACTGTGCCAGAAATGAACAGTAAATTAGACTTGTAAAATGTCTTCATGTTTAATAATCTAAAATGCTGTTAAATTACAGAGGTAAAGCTATCATCAATATAGATTTTATTTCCACAGTGTCCCTTTGTTCTTGTCATTGTCAGTCGGTCACTTTGAACAGAGAGGAGTGGGGAGAAATACTTTTGAAGATGGAAATATATTCTGGTTTTGATTTACAACAGAGGTTTGATGCCTCCTTGTTGTGACCCCTACTGCCATAAACAGACGGACAAACATAAAAGTAGATAAACAAGCATCTGTTGTTTATGACATTGACAACTCTCCCCCAGTGTTGTTCCCAATACTTCAAGCACGTATTCATGTCCCCAAGGAGGCTGAATGTAGGTTTCTTGTCCAGGTTACCAGACAGCCAGTTAAGCATTTTTTTACATTGTGAAATACTGTGAGAGGGTTTTCTGTGTGAAACGTGCCTCTGGAGCCCTAGTTCTCTCCCAGATGTATACATGGTGCTTTATTTGGAGCTCAGGTGCAGAGTGGAAACACGAGGGTGGTGGTTGGCTGGCTTTCATCACATCAGGAGCTAGGTGTTTCTGACTGCAGTCTCCCTGACCTAGACAAAAGCTCTGGGAAAGCCTCTTCTCACTTTCCTCCAGAGAAGGACCTAAAAAGAGAGTCTTAAAATTCACTGCACATAGTGTGCTGCTGGCTATTGGCAGGCACCCTGGGAACTTCAGACAAATGAAGCTCGCACTGCTGGTTTAGGCTGCAATGACGATGACTGCAGAGGAATAGGGAGTGCAACAGTACATTGTGTAATGTGGTTTCTGGGCAGCGGGATGGAGAACAGGATGGAAATCTTATTAAACCTCCCTGGACAAGCCAGGGTAATCAAGATTGGTGCTGGACTGGATACCAGGAGCTGCAGGATTGCTCACAGTGCAGTATTGGCTGTGAGCAGCCAAGGTTAATACAGGACGTGACTTTAGTTCAGTACAGAACTTGCAGCAGTTTGCTCAGAGGATGAAATTAGAGGCGTTTTGTAAAAGTTTTGTTGCCCAAACATGCATCAGGAGGCAGTGGAGTGAGGCCATTCTGTGAGTGACATTTTCATCCAATATATCTCTGCAAAGCCTCCTGCTTCGCTAAGAGCATGCACGCATAACAAACCATTAAGTGCTGTCTGTGCAGACACAGTGTACATCGTAGCCAAGACCTTCAGCCCTGAAAGCACACACTTCTGTATACCTGAGCTAAAGAAACAGCTGGTTGGACTTAGCATGCTATTGCGACCAGTAAAAGGAAACAACCACCCAACTCAGGGGCTTGTAGTTCTTTCTGGGTGGAGGGTGGAAGTCCTGTCTTGGTAGTAGTTGTTGAGAACAGCATTTCTAAAATGGCAACTGCTTCTCAGCGCTGTGCCTGTTCCTTTTTCATCCTCCTCTGTGTAGCCAAGAGGAGCTGCAAGGGAGAGAGAGAACCTGGATTTCCCCTTTCATTCTGTCCTACACCTTCTAACTAGAAATCCTAGTGAGGTAATTGAGTGGAAGAGTTGGTGTACTCGCCTTTCTTCCTCCTCTGCTTTCTCGTCAGCTGTCAGAATGAGCATAAATACATCCAAGGGCCAGATTCTTGTCAAAGAGCCAGCCTGGAGAGCCCAGCGAGCCAGCTGTGCCCATTTTTCAGGCCACTGAGTTAGTGCACACAACGGAAGGCACCATGGTGGCCCGTGCCTTTGAAGGGTCATCCATGCTTTCCAAATGTGGCCCTAAGTTTCCCCCTCCACCTCCAAAAAGGGAGGAGAAGGAAACATGTTGACATTCTTTGGGTTCACCGCTTATTTTTTATCTTCTCAGGTTGGCTCAAAAATAGGCTGGAGAAGGGTGGCTCTGGAGCCACAGTTTAGGTCTGTGAGTGCAGGAGGAAAAGCTGAAGGAAGTACTGACCTTCCCAACAGATTCTCTCTCCTCCTCCTTGTGCTCAGGAGGGCCATTCCCCCAAAGACAGCCAGCAAATGTAGCTAGGAGAGAGATTCCCCAGGGAATCTGGGGAAAAAAAGGGAGCCAGGAACGCTGCCTAGATTTAGGGAAACTGAGAGGGGTCTGTGCCAA